TCACGCTTTATATATTCGAAATTCACACTTTCCACAAGAGCTATTAGCTGTAACCGCTAAGCCAGGCAAAATGATGTAGTAATAGCGGCCCTTAGCCTAATACCCCCGGTACCTAGTGCGCCGTTTTCGCCCTCTAGTCTCTTGGACCATGACGATCCCACCTTGTAGTTCATACGATAAATACCGTTTGTGAATAATGCGGTATAGCGTGATACGAATAGCCCTATAATCTTATTATAATAATAGTGTCACTCGTATACGCAGAGAGAAGAGCTGGCTCCCTTGCAGCGCCGTATCCCACATACTACTCTGTATAGGTTACCTAAGTATCTGATCTACTATGTGTCTTTGATTAGTCTTACGTATGAGAGTTTGTAAATCTAACACAATCTAGGGATGGTTTTGGATACGCATCTCTTGTACCGCTTTAGTAAAAGATTGAATGTTTGGTTAAGAATATGAAGCGGTGTATCTTTACGTTGGCCTTTATAATTATAACCCGTATTTTTGCAACTGGACGCACAGCTACATTAGCGTCATAATAATGGATCTTTTAAATGTAGGTTTGCTTGCCTTAACCTTATTTTGTCTTAATATAATAATAGTAGAGGCTAAGTATACCTGAAACGTCTTCCGTTAGTACCACTAACTCACAGCTATAATATCGTCTAACCCTCTTTGGAAACTATTAAATAGCTCATCTAATATTATGACCGGATTCCCATGGGACTAAGAGCCGTGATCCTAGTCCCTGGCATTCGCTTTAGCGCAAGACGTAGTACCCAGGTTCTGCAAGTGTATGTCCTCGGATAGGACGTACTGGCGCAGGATTTGTGGCACGGAGATCGGTCTTGATAGAACTATTATAGGGTGTGGGAAATTATGCGATTAGGAGCGTTTATTTCTTAGACTAAATGACATGTTATTCCGCGCTTAGGCCTTATCCTAGCTTTACATAGCCACCCCGTTCTACTACGTAACAGGCACTAGACAGACCGTCTAAGTTGGCTATATAGTTGAAGTTAGATAATTTAGAGTGTGTAATAATGGAAATACTGCGGGACGCAGGATGTAGGACGAAGGCTTGACGTGACCCAACCGATATATGCGTCCATGACATGTTGGAGCTGGGGAATGGGCATATGTCTAAATTTGCACTAAGCAGCACGACTTTTATATTTGTACCCGTTAGCGACTAAGTGGACGATCCACTTAAGTGGCTAGCCCACTTAGTTGCTAATGGGTAAGCCTAAATGGAACGTCATTGGGTAAGGCCTTGACAGAGCGCTTGTTTCATTTTACCGGCGGGCGTAGACGGCTTATAGAAGTCAATGATAGCAGCACTTGTGCGCACAACGGCCTGTTACTTTTGCCTGCCTTGGACGATTTTATGATGCTGTATATTAACGCTCTTACACACAAGCTTTAGCTTGAATCTAATAAAATTAAAGCCTAGCAAGTAAAGTACCTTAACAACTGAGCGGCATTAAACATTTAGCCGAGACAGACCCTTATTAAGTCTACCTATAGCAATATACACATGAACTATACGGCTAACATGCCATTCATTTAGTGGGTCTCACTAATACTTTCATGGAAGTATATCTCCCTACGCGTATCAGATAGTTTCAACGCGAGGGGGTTTCTTCCCTTTCCCTAGAGCCACTAGTCCTTGAAGCGCTGATTCCCAAGGGCCTTTCGCTTCAGTTCAATTTCATTAAGAAACATCAATGTCACCAAACCTAACCGCCTAGTCCGGCTACGGTGTAAAAAATGGCCTGGAATAGCTTAAGGTAGACCCGCAAAATTTGATCCAGGATTAAAGCAGAGACGTCTCGTGACCTTAGCTCATTAATGGATTTAACAGCATTAAAGGCGTCTTTTAAAGGCGCTAAAGATAAAGTGAACTGAGCGGCTACCCTGCAGATATATGTAGAGAAATCAGTGCTGAAAATCGATGAAGAGAAAGCGAGGCCGACGAGGGCCCTAAACATACGAGTTGTGAGAGAGTTACCAGTGGCTAAGCCTTTGTCGACGTGCCTGACACTCGCTTGTACAGGATGAAGAGCGAGCCGGAGCATTGAGATGCCTTGGCCCCGGAGAATCGGAAGTCCATGTAGCATAGACGCCGACGAGTCGGTTCTAAAGAGGACCAGCATGCCAGCTCCTAACATAGTCATTACCCATGACAGTCGTAGGAACCAGACATGAACTCCCAATAAGGGGACAATTATCATGGAGATGACTGTGACTACCACGCTCACAATGGCGGTGGGCAGCAGGAAAACAGCCGAAGAGATGGCCATCTCGAGCTCCACCGGTCGA